TCGTTATAGTCTTGTTTTAAATATTTTTAATTACTCTTAATTATGAATTTGTGCCCAGACTTGGTTAATTGCTGGAATAATTGTTTGCAAAATAAAACATCTTGAAATAAATCACGTGGTTTTGGAAGTTTTATAGGAAAAGACGTGACAGTATTTTCATGTTTATCTCTCCTTCGGGGCAAATCACTTTTTATATTTATTTTTTTTTACAATAAATATAGGAGGGAATCGTAAAATCTAAAAGCATGTGTATTTAAAAAAATAACAAAAATTCTAGCGCGTATTTTTGTTTACTTTAGAAGTATGTTTTTACCTATGTTTGTGTTTTTCATGAGTCCAGCCCATTAAGTTATTTGAATTTAAAGAACGCGCGCTCGCACTAAAGTATGAAGTATATGAGGGTTCTCCTACTTACCAAGCTTGTTCCAAAACAGGACGATGAAAGCAAGAATAAATAAAAAAATAATAAAAAAAAAGAAGAAGAAGCAAAATAAGTCAAAGGTTTGCGCACAGGTCAGTGTGAACGGACAGGATTTAGGTTATGAAAATAGGAGTCTTCCACTGTCGAGGCTGGCTGTGTTTACAGAGCGCGCGCAGGAGACGCTTGGAGACGGTGTGCGCCTTGGCTCTCTCTGCGCGCAGCTCTGCAGCTCCTTCCCGGGGTATTGCGCGTTGAAATGTCCACACAGCCGTTTGTCAAAGCCTTGCAAGATCCCACACTCCCACCCCACCACACAGACACACAGACACCCCCCCCCACCCTTTTATGCCAACAAACATAACTGTTGTCACGGTTTCATTTATTAAATCATTTTTCTTTAAAGAGAGAGAGAGAGAGAGAAACCTTTCTCTGCTGTCTCTATAATCGACCCTGAGCAACTAGTATTTTGTTTGTTGGGGGGAGGGGGGGTTGACCCTGCAACGGTAGCCACAGCCCACCTCCCCTTACGTTTGTTTACCTTCATCCTAACCTGTGAATAATTAAATTCCACCATTTAAAAAAATGTCACCAAGATGCCTTTTTTTTTCTATCAGTGCATCCATGATGGCGCATTAACACTGATGGAGCTGAATATTAAAGGTGAAATAGATGGCCTGGCTTCTGTTTTTGTGCGTAAAAGTGCCCAGGCTCAAACTGAAAAGGAAAAAAAAAAAAAAAAAGAGAGGCTTGACTGGAATCAATGGCCGGAGCGTTGCTCCTCCTCTAAACTTCAATCTCCACACATGATTGATGATCTCGGGGAGCTTTGAAAATTGACTACTCTGAGGTAAGGCACGAGCTCCGATCAAGGGAGGCGATTGGACGACAGAAACGTAGAAAATTAGTCCCCCCCCCCCCCCCCCCCCCCCCC